ATGTAATTCTCACTGGAGAATGTTGCTTTAAATGATGCTACGATGAAGCAGTAGGAGCCGAGATTTAGTCATGTACATCTCCAAAAAACTGGCCATAAAAACTTAAGTTCACTTTATAATATTAGTTCAGTATGTTTAAATTTTATTATTTATATTTATATGAATAGTTTTACCTTTTTCCCTCCTGAAAAAATATTAGGTACCTTACCAATAAAAAGGCCATTAGTAAATGCACAGCTCAGTTACATTTCAAAGTGCAATACTAAACACATTCATTTAGATAAAAATACACACATTTATAGCAGACTGTCATATAAGTCTAAGATAAGATGTTTTTGTGATGGTATGTATGCTGTAAAGAAGCAGCAAACCTTAGATATATAGTTATAATCACACCTAAAGAAGTTTAAAATTTATTTCAGTAAATAAATGTAAAATAATAAAAATATTTATATTCTACAGGCAAAAAGTAGGTGTAACATTTTAAGAACAAGCAAAACTGGAGGAAGATGGTCTTAAAATTCTGTAAAAATAATTTATTTCCTTAGAGAAAGATAATTATTTGAGAGTTGGCATAACTTTCTGATTTTTCAGTTACATCGCTTTTTGGAAAATAATAAAAAAAGGGTCCGATGAAACTCTTTTCTGAAATAATTCAGGTAATGGGAGTTAAGACCATTAGAACTCTCACTTGTAAAATGACAAGAGTACTTGTGGTGAAACTCAACCTTTTTTTTTTTTGTTATCAAAAGGCACAACCTATGTTAAACCTACAAAGGCAAGAAACATCTGCAGCACACATCTTGATTTTCAAAGATGCATTAAAAAAAATCTATATAGGAGTTAATGTATTTTTATTATGTCTGTGCTTGATATCTAAGGGTCAGACATGTGATAGAAAAGTAATGAGACCATGTTGAGAAAAATGAGGTAGTCAACAGGAAAATCAACCTCATTTATAATAATATTCCTGTGATCAGCAGGTGCATAACTCTCCCAGCTATGGTCATTAACTGCATTCATTTCACACTTAACATCTACATTTGCAAACCATTTGAAAGTAAAATTACCTTCAAATTCAATTTTCAATTTTATTTTATATCTTCAACTTTGATTGACTATTCTCCTCACAATGGTAGCTATAGTGAGATTGCAAGTAAATGGTAGCAACTACCCAACAGTACAGATAAACTCATCTTCTCAGATTACCTATTCACTTTGCTTTTGTATGTATAATAATTTATAACCATTTGTTAATGTTCAATTCAAGGCTTAAAATGAACTTAGAAAAAATGATGCTGGACTGTTGAAGGGATACTTCATTTATTAGGCTCACTTGTTCTTAAAATGAAAGTGGTTTTCTCCTTATAAAGGACTTAAACTGGAAGTTTACCAAACACAAAAGCAGGTATTTCATTGATGTTGCTAAGCAAAGAGCAACTCCCATACAGTTTATTATTAATGGAAACCTTTTGTATCCTGGTGGAAATCCAAATAGAATCCTCTGGTAAAGCTTAACTATTAGGATGTTGGTATATCAGTACTTAGCAATTGTAGTGTCATTTTCTCCATTAAAAGTATGTGCTTCAGAAACATTAGATAGTATCATCTCCATTTTAAAGACAGAAAAGCAACGGAATAGCAATGGTCAGCTGATTTGCCATGCTTACAGATTCTGAAGCTTCTTATTCAGGAGCAGTCTGTACTTCACATATGTTTTATTTTATGCACTACTTGTAAATTTGTCTGTAGGAGATATCATGTTATTGAACTGGCTGCCTGATCATCCAAAATCCAGAGCTCTGTATTCTGCCCTCACAAAACCAGACTTAGTTATGCTGAAAATCAACCAAATCTCTACAAAATGAGATCAGGAAGACTGATATGTCACCTAGACCTAGAGAACAAGTTGTGAAGAATCAGCTTTATTTTTATCTACTGGAATCTTCTGTTGATAATGTTTTTTCTGGAGAGAATTGAAGAGAAAAAACACTAAAGTCCCCTTAAACAGTATTCATAAAAGAACAGTAATGCATTTGGCACGTGCAAAACCAGAATCATCAAATCTGGTTGCCAGAATAGAAAAACTTTCCAAATATGGGCAATTACACAGAACTGGTGATTTCTGAGCTCTCCCTACAAGATATCAACATATTTGCAATAAATTCTCCAACTGAAAGAATGACCTGCTATTTTCACTGATCAAGAACAATTTGTTGTGACAGTTTGATTACTCTTAGAACTTCACGTTTCAAAAATCATTCTGGAAGTGGTCATTAATATTCATAACATATTCTAGAAACTTCTATCAATATTTTAACATCCTCAGCTTTGAAATGAGCTCATCTCTTATTTTCAAGTATTTAGTAAGTTCTGTATTAAGGCATGGTGATATGTTCCTCTGAAGCATGGC